TGGCAGAGGTTAATACATCTACAGTTTCTATGAATGGAAAGCAATCTAGGAATAGAAGCCATACTACAGCTTCTTTAAATGTAAAGTGATCTATGAATGGAGGATGCACAAATGATCCTGTTAGGTTATGTCCCTTGTGCTGATTTTTCTTTTTTCCTTTTATCTACACTTAGGTTTTAAAATCCTCATGTGGGTAAAGTATACCTAAAGTAAAAACCTTTTTCCACTTTGGATAGTAGGGAATGGTTACAGCCCGTCAGGTTTTTTTTTTTTTGCGATATGTGCCCCATCATTCCTGTTTTGGTGACAACTTTTTTGCAATGTTCTTTTGCATTCCTGTCAGTCCAGGCTGGTCACCAGGATAAACAGAGAGAGCTGGAAGGGATACAGTGAGGAACAGAAGTATTTGAACACCCTGCAATTTTCCAAGTTCTCCCACTTAGGAATCATGGAGGGGTCTGAAGTTCACATTGTAGGTGCATTCCCACTCTGAGAGACAGAATTAAAAAAAAAAATTCAGGAAATCACATTGTATGATTTTTAAAGAATTTATTTGTCTTGCACTGCTGAACATAAGTATTTGAACACATAAGAAACAGCAAGCATTCTGGCTCTCAAAGACCTGTTACTGTGCCTTTACAAAGTCCACCTCTACTCCACTCATTAATCTAACTTAGTAGCACCTGTCTGAGCTCTTTAAAGACACCTGTCCACCCCACAGTCAGTCAGATGCCAACTACTACCATGGGCAAGACTGAAGAGCTGTCAAAAGACACCAGAGACAAAATTGTGGACCTCCACAAGGCTGGAAAGGGCTATGGGGCAATTGCCAAGCAGCTTGGTGAAAATAGATCAACTGTTGGAGCAATTGTTAGAAAACGGAAGAGGCTAAAGACGACTGTCAGTCTCCCTCGGACTGGGGCTCCATGCAAGATCTCACCTTGTGGGGTATCACTGATGATAAGAAAGGTGAGGAATCAGCCCAGAACTACAAGGAGCTGGTCAATGACATGAAGAGAGCTGGGACCACAGTTTCAAAGGTCACTGTTGGTAGAACACTACGCCGTCATGGTTTCAAATCATGCATTGCACAGAAGGTTCCCCTGCTCAAGTCATCACATGTCCAGGCCCGTCTGAAGTTTGCCAATGACCGTCTGGATGCTCCAGAGGAGGCATGGGAGAAAGTCATGTGGTCAGATGAGACCACTGAAGATGGGTCGTGGCTGGGTCTTCCAACATGACAACGACCCGAAGCACACAGCCAGGATAACCAAGGAGTGGCTCCGTAAGAAGCATATCAAGCTTCTAGAGTGGCCTAGCCAGTCTCCAGACCTAAATCCAATAGAACATCTTTGGAGGGAGCTGAAACTCCGTGTTGCTCAGCGACAGCCCCAAAACCTGACAGATCTAGAGGAGATCTGTGTGGAGGAGTGGGCCAAAATCCCTGTTGCAGTGTATGCAAACCCGGTCAAGAACTACAGGAAACGTTTGACCTCTGTAATTGCAAACAAAGGCTTCTGTACCAAATATGAACACTGATTTTCTCAGGTGTTCAAATACTTATGTTCAGCAGCAGTGCAAGACAAATTCTTTAAAAATCATACAATGTGATTTCCTGAATTTTTTTTTTAAATTCTGTCTCTCAGAGTGGGAATGCACCTACAATGTGAATTTCAGACCCCTCCGTGATTTCTAAGTGGGAGAACTTGCAAAATCGCAGGGTGTTCAAATACTTTTGTTCCTCACTGTATATACAGTTGTGTTCAAAATAATAGCAGTGTGTTGAAAAAAGTGGATAAAGCTCAAAATCCTTCTAATAGCTTTTATTTCCATACACACAAATGCAGTGGGAACACTACACATTCTATTCCAAATCAAAACATGAAGAAAAATATATCAAATTTGTGTTGTTCCTCTACAAAAAAATGAAGAAAAGTGAATGTTAGACTGTTCAAAAAAATAGCAGTGTTTGTATTCTTCTTTACAAACTCAAACATTCACTGTATAAACTGAAAAATGTTTGAAGATTTTGCTTTCCTTTGAATCACTTAATGAATATTTGGTTGTATAAGCACTGTTTCTGAGAACTGCTGTACATCTGTGTTGCATGAAGTCAACCAACTTCTGGCACCTGTGAACAGGTATTCCAGCCCAGGATGATTGGACTACATTCCACAGTTCTTCTCTATTTCTTGGTTTTGCCTCAGAAACTGCATTTTTTATGTCACCCCACAAGTTTTCTATTGGATTAAGATCCGGGGATTGGGCTGGCCACTCCATAACGTCAATCTTGTTGGTCTGGAACCAAGATGTTGCACGTTTACTGGTGTGTTTGGGGTCGTTGTCTTGTTGGAACACCCATTTCAAGGGCATTTCCTCTTCAGCATAAGGCAGCATGACCTCTTCAAGTATTCTGATGTATTCAAACTGATCCATGATCCCTGGTATGCGATAAATAGGCCCAACACCGTAGTATGAGAAACATCCCCATATCATGATGCTTGCACCACCATGCTTCACTGTCTTCACAGTGTACTGTAGCTTGAATTCAGTGTTTGGGGGTCGTCTGACAAACTGTCTCCGGCCACTAGACCCAAAAAGAACAATCTTAATTTCATCAGTCCACACAATGTTGCGCCATTTCTCTTTAGGCCAGTTAATGTGCTCTTTGGCAAATTGTAACCTCTTCAGCACGTCTTTTTTTCAACAGTGGGACTTTGCGGGGGCTTCTTGCAGATAGCTTGGCTTCACATAGGCGTCTTCTAATTGTAACAGTACTCACAGGGAACTTTAGACCTTCTTTGATCTTCCTGGAGCTGATTGTTGGCTGAGTCCTTGCCATTTTGGCTATTCTTCTATCCATTCGAATGGTAGTTTTTCGCTTTCTTCCACATCTTTCAGGTTTTGGTTGCCATTTTAAAGCATTTGCGATCATTTTAGCTGAGCAGCCTATCATTTTCTTCACTTCTTTATATGTTTTCCCCTCTCTCCAATCAACTTTTTAATCAACGTACGCTGTTATTCTGAACAATGTCTGGAACGACCCATTTTCCTCAGAATTTCAGAGAGAAATGCACTGTAACCAGCATGTACAATATTTGCTGCCTTCCTTCCTTAAATAAGGGCAATAATTGCCACCTGTTTTTCAAAGAATGAATGACCTCACTAATAGAACTCCACACTGCTATTATTTTGAACATGCCCCTTTCAATTAGTGATTCAATTACACAGAATCAGCAGCATGCATGTCATGACTCTTGGGTCTGTTGGATTTCTATTACTCTACTACACCTGCTAGTAAATTATTTGCCATGTAGAGATATCATTTCTACCAAAAACAGTGATTGATCAGGTTAGTGATGTCTGACTGCTATTATTTTGAACACAACTGTACATCAATAAAAACTTGATAGAGGCTCTAACCCCTTAACACTTTATCCATAGCCACAAACAAGTTTTGAATTTAGATACACTATCATAGTGACAGAGGGTTATAAAAGGGCTATAGAGAAATGCAAATCCTTTGGCGGATACATTTGTTTACATATTTGTGTATTTAGTTTGTCTGGAGTTCACCTTTAGGATGGCTTCACACTGCCCGATGTGGTCCCACTACGTTGTGGGCAGGTTAGCTTCGCTTTCCCATAGACTTCTATGATGTCCTGTGTTTTTGGTGTGGGTTCATAAACTGCATCAAAGATGCAGCGTGCAGGCGTTTTGAAGTGCTTTCTGACTCTGCATTAAAACCGCAAGACCTTAAAGAAAGCTTTGGGAAAGCGTAGCTAAAGTGCATGAAAACCACAGGTTAGCTGCACTTTAGCAAAAACTCAGCAGGGTACTGTGATGTCACCCTTAAAAGAGTTGTGTGCATCTGCAGTTTTTTTTTTGACATGGAAAGGATTGCCCCCTGAAAAGTTTCAGCCTTTGAGCCGCCATTGTTTTCATATACAGTACGAGGAGGCAAAACACATCTCCATGTACACGGGACACTTCTGAATGATGGAATCTGACTGCTGGAAAACGTAGGTTAAAAAAACGTCTGTTTAGCCGTGTTTGCATACTGCGTTTATGCGCATTTGCGTTTAGAAGCATTTTTTAAAGATAACCTCAGGAGACCTTCCAAAATGCCCAGAATGCACTGAAAAACTGAAAAAATTAACTATTTCAGACATTTTGAGAGAAATAGAGCAGAAGCAGAGAGAGCAGTATTTGTTGAGATTAGCTGGGGTTTTTTTTTTTGTGTGGTGTTTGGATGTGTCCCAGCTCATTTCTGTGCAGAAATTATTGCAGCAGTGTCTAACATATTTTCTTTCATGTGAAACCTCAAAGTATAGTATACCAGGTCCATTAAAGTTAGATAAACAAAATTTCCACGCGCAAACGCTTATAAACGCAGTTAGCCACGTTTACAAGCATTTGAAACGCTGGTAAAATCTACTCCTGAACGCAAGTTTGGTGCGTTAAAAAAAAACAACTGTAAACTCAACCGCCTGTAAACGAAGATGTGTACATGGACACATAGGAAAACATTAGGAAGAGTTCAGGGGCTGCTGAAAAAAATGCAGAAAAGCTCCTAAACGTGAGTTTATCAGCTGCAGTGTACATGGAACCTAAATGTCCATATAATACGCATCAAATCTCAAATGCGTTGGAGGGGGCCCACACACTGGAGAAGTGCCTTTCATCAAGACGCTGCCCCTTGTGCTCAAAGAAGATACGAATATGCACTCCTCTAAGGGGGAAGGGTGCAGTGCCAACAAATGTACGCATGCGCACCCTCGCATCTGTATGCAGAACCACCAAGGCCAGTGTGAATGAAGCTTCAGTTTTTCTTTTGAGGGAGAGAGCCCAGCTTATGATCTCTTACACAGGCCTCCACCATTCAGAGAACACCCCTAGGCATTCATGCATGTATGAACAGTTTTCTAAATGCAGTTATTAGTAACCATGATAAAAGCTTACAATGTTCAGATAAAAATATTCTATTCTGTACAATACGTTTACAATACAGCACACACATCTACAGTTTCTGCCCTGATTTCTTTTTCTGGCACCGTAAATCCATCTCCTTGTCCAACAGTCTCTATAAGCGTTGGCTCCTTGTCACACATGGGACAAAGTTTGTTACGTACTGATGAAGCTCTCATCCATAAAATAAGATTCCACCGTTCTCCTGAAGTAATCGGGAGGGCTCCATGAATCTGCTGCCCCCTGTGCAAAATTCCCTGACCAAGAAGATGCTCAACTTCTGTATATCTTCTTTCATTAACTGGAACCTGAATGGAAGACAAATGATTTTCACTGTAGTCAAGCTAGGGATTTAGCATTCAGAATTGGTAACCTAATATTGAAAGGAAGAATTGTATTATCTATGAATCAAACATCTTTTAGTAAAGTCGATCTCTATCTGCCTCTAATTAGCAGTACAAAAAACTTCTTTATCCGTTTACCAGGGTCATTAGATTGAAAACTGATATTTAATTATAAGCAGCCAACTATAATGTTTTATTCTTTTGTTCCCCTGCTGGGGATTTTCCCTCCTATCTTTTCCTGCTCTGAAATTAGCTTCAGCTGAAATACAGTAAAACTGGCCACACGTGTTACAATATAATGAAACAATTTAGAATGAATTGTACATAAATCTGGTGGAAGAATAAGTGTTCAAGCTAACATAAGACCAAAGTATTCCCCACATTTGGATGATGTATGCAGCTAGCACTGGGAAATTTAGTGTTAGACCTAAGCAGATTGGTAAGATTGACATACATTTTATGATTTGAATACAATATTGTTTATATACACATTAAAGCTGAACTCCGTGTATGATTTTTATTGCAAACTAACATTGGTCCAGCCAGGCACAAGGTGAGTATGCATATCTCACATCTAACGGGCTGCTAGGGAAGCCGATGATCACTTTAGTAGTCTGCACTACTATAGTGATTGGACGACTTGGGAACTTGGGAAGATCTCCACCTCATCCAATCAGAGAATGCCTTGCATTAATTGAAAAAAAAAGCAAGGTTTTCTATGAATGGTGGCAGTGCAGAGTGAGCAACCCTCTATGGTCAGTGTGCAGAGGGGAAGCCACTCAACACAGGACTCGAAAGTTTGCAGCTATTGTGCCAACCTACTACAGTAATTGTCAGCTTACCTAGTAGTCGCTCAGTTATTAGATATGTGATGGATATGGTAAAATGCCTATTTGGTTTCCTGTTGAATATATATATATTTTGAAATGTTTTGTATGAATATATATATATATATGTGTGTATATCTTTTGCCTGCTGGGCTTTGTGGTACTTCAAAAAATCCTTGCTCAAGAAATGTCTGCTCAGCAACCCCTCCCATCGAGTGAACTTGAGAACAAAGGAATATTACTTTCTAGAGATAAGACCTCGGCCAAGATCACGCCTATATTCTGAGGAAGATTGTTTTCATGTGTAAATGACCAATCAAAGACTAATATAATGCTAATGCTATTCTCACGTGACTTTTGCATCATCTCGCATATATAAACTCACGTTTTCATTCCAATAAATTAGAAGTTTTCACAGACCGAACGTGTGTCAGTGTGAGTTTCTTTATGTGCGCGCACATTCCAGAGCCAGCAAGATTAATTAGGACAGGAGCAGATAATCACCGGACACTTAGTCCTCACTAAATCAGATATGCATACTTACATTGGTCCAAACTGGATTAATAAAAACCATACCTGGAGTTCAGCTGTATCAACTATGTAGTGTACTCTGTAGTGCAAGTCTAACTTATTAGAGAACGCCCTGTGGGTGGGGCGAAACGCGTTGCCGCACTTCCGGTCTGCCGTCATCTTGGTCTACGCCACTTCCGGTATTTGGAACGCACGCCGACTTTTGCGGTTCAAGCGGCCATTTTAGAGGTGGAAAGCTGGTCATCTTCTACAGTGATTCTTAAAGCGTGAGATCCCTATATTTACAATTTGGAAACTTGTTCCTTTGAAGCCTTTGAGGCTATTAAACAAGGCCTGTTATTTTATTGAAACATGTGAGTGTCCTTATTCTATGGATTTATATGGTATTGAGTGGCAGTATTACACTATGTAGCCTTTCTTTCCTTGCACACTATTGAGGATTCCATGGAGAAGTAGAGTGGAGCCGATTGCTGTATCTAAGCAGGGTGAAGAAGGCGATTTGAGTTCCTCCTGAGGGGCTATAGGATCCCTTATATCCTATGAGGCTTATTACTCACCTCCATCTGGTGAGTGCGGTCAATATTATTTTTCATGTGGTGATTAGGTGGAAGCACATTTTGGAACATTGTCTTGAAAATCCTTTTGGGAAAATAAGGACTTACGTTTGAAATATTATATATATATATATATATATATTTTTTTTTTTTTTTTTTTTTTTTTTTTTTTGCACGGACATTTATTTATTTGTGATTATTTTTACTTATTTAATTTTTGCGCTGTTTTTTTGTGTTATTCATAGTGTACTGAAGGTGATTGTATCCATAGCCAGAAAAATACTATGAAGAATGTTAGGTGGTATATACAGTCAGGTCCATAAATATTGGGACATCGACACAATTCTAACATTTTTGGCTCTATACACCACCACAATAGATTTAGAATGAAACCAACAAGATATGCTTTAACTGCAGACTGTCAGCTTTAATTTGAGGGTATTTACATCCAAATCAGGTGAACGGCATAGGAATTACAACAGTTCGCATATGTGCCTCCCACTTCTTAAGGGACCAAAAGTAATGGGACAATTGGCTTCTCAGCTGTTTCATGGCCAGGTGTGTGTTATTCCCTCATTATCCCAATTACAATGAGCAGATAAAAGGTCCAGAGATCATTTCAAGTGGGCTATTTGCATTTGAAATCTGTTGCTGTCAACTCTCAAGATGAGATCCAAAGAGCTGTCACTATCAGTGAAGCAAGCCTTCATTAGGCTGAAAAAACAAAACAAACCCATCAGAGAGATAGCAAAAACATTAGGCGTGGCCAAAACAACTGTTTGGAACATTCTTAAAAAGAAGGAACGCACCAGTAAGCTCAGCAACACCAAAAGACCACGGAAAACAACTGTGGTGGATGACCGAAGAATTCTTTACCTGGTGAAGAAAACACCCTTCACAACAGTTGGCCAGATCAAGAACACTCTCCGGGAGGTAGGTGTATGTGTGTCAAAGTCAACAATCAAGAGAAGACTTCACCAGAGTGAATACAGAGGGTTCACCACAAGATGTAAACCATTGGTGAGCCTCAAAAACAGGAAGGCCAGATTAGAGTTTGCCAAACAACATCTAAAAAAGCCTTCACAGTTCTGGAACAACATCCTATGGACAGATGAGACCAAGATCAACTTGTACCAGAGTGATGGGAAGAGAAGAGTATGGAGAAGGAAAGGAACTGCTCATGATCCTAAGCATACCACCTCATCAGTGAAGCATGGTGGTGGTAGTGTCATGGCGTGGGCATGTATGGCTGCCAATGGAACTGGTTCTCTTGTATTTATTCATGATGTGACTGCTGACAAAAGCAGCAGGATGAATTCTGAAGTGTTTCGGGAATATTATCTGCTCATATCCAGCCAAATGCTTCAGAACTCATTGGTCGCCGCTTCACAGTGCAGATGGACAATGACCCAAAGCATACTGCAAAAGTAACCAAAGAGTTTTTTAAGGGAAAGAAGTGGAATGTTATGCAATGGCCAAGTCAATCACCTGACCTGAATCCGATTGAGCATGCATTTCACTTGCTGAAGACAAAACTGAAGGGAAAATGCCCCAAGAACAAGCAGGAACTGAAGACAGTTGCAGTAGAGGCCTGGCAGAGCATCACCAGGGATGAAACCCAGCGTCTGGTGATGTCTATGCGTTCCAGACTTCAGGCTGTAATTGACTGCAAAGGATTTGTAACCAAGTATAAAAAAGTGAAAGTTTGATTTATGATTATTATTCTGTCCCATTACTTTTGGTCCCTTAACAAGTGGGAGGCACATATGCAAATTGTTGTAATTCCTACACCGTTCACCTGATTTGGATGTAAATACCCTCAAATTAAGGCTGACAGTCTGCAGTTAAAGCACATCTTGTTCGTTTCATTTTAAATCCATTGTGGTGGTGTATAGAGCCAAAAATGTTAGAATTGTGTCGATGTCCCAATATTTATGGACCTGACTGTATGGAAAATGTCCACAATTCTACAGGTAGGCAATGGAGGGGACTTTGTAAATTAGCTTGGATTAGTTTGTTCAATACTGGGTATACAATACCAGGTACAGCATACCTGATTATAGCTGTTTTCACAGCAGGCTTCAGGCATCTAAAATCAGATGGCAGTAGTAGTGCTGCAAAGATGTGACATAATTGATGAGTGTCATCCTAATGGAGAAGAACCAGTGCCAGTGCTGCTGTTTGCATAAGTCATCATACAGGCAGTGTAACACAACATGGCCCTGAGGGAAGGGAAGGGAAGACACATGGATTGATTTACTAAAACTGAAGCATGCTAAATCTGGTTCAGCTCTGCATAGAAACCAATCAGCTTCCAGGTTTTATTGTCAAAGGTTAATTGAACAAGCTGAGGTTAAAGGCTGATTGGTTTCTATGCACAGCTGCACCAGATTTTGCACTTTCCACTTTTAGTAAATCAACACCACAGTGACCAAGAAAATGTCACTCACAGTGACATGTAAAGTCTATCTCTGCAACCACCCTGGTTGCACAGGCAGTCAGCTTTACCATACCTGAAGGATTAGGGCTGTACACTTTCTGAACTGTTCTGTATTAAAATTAGGAGCTGCAAAGGTAGTTGAGCTGAAGTTTTACCTCTCTCATTTCAGAAAAATAAAGGTTTCCATCAGTGAACTCTTTCCCCAGGGAAACATTCAGAGTAACTTCAGAGTTGTCATAGTGGCAGCTGAGATCCAAGTCTTTATCCAGAGAGTACTGTACTACAAAGGCTTTGTGGCTGTCCAGGCAGCTGCCTCCCCAGTCTGGATATAAGACAGAAACCAAAGGTCGGAGGTATTTCTCACGCAAGGGAGTGATGAACGAATCATCTAAGCCAAGTTCATTCAGAAGGACCTATGGGCAGAGAAAAAAAAAACAATTAAATCCACTGCACATACAGTTTTAGGCCTTGTGCACAGACATATGAAAAAGCCAGAAGTTGTTGAAAAAAATGCCTTTAATGCTGCATTTTTATGCGTGTATATGTGTATATTGCATTTAGATCCATGAGTGTAAAAATATTATTATAGCTCTCTAGCAAAACAACTTTCTCCTTGCTGCATTGTCAAACAGCCATGCGCCGAGGGGGGGAAGCCCCCTGTCTGATATAACAACTACTGTTACAGGGCACCTGGAAAGATGGGACAAAGAACTACATGTACTTTGTTCCTTCCGAAACGGAATACTGTAAAAATAAAAAAAAGTGATACTTCTTATTTAAAGTGTTAAGTGAACTTTGTTGTTGTTTGATCATTATTCCAACTACATATACAGATTTTTTTATTTCTCATTTAAATCATGCCCACTGAAGAATAATTGTTGTATGGATTTCTAATTAAAGGGATAACACCTTCTGTTTGAAAAAGGCATTGATGTACTTAAAGTGTTACTAAACCCAGGATCCTGCATTCACTCTATTTGGTCTCCCACAGTACACAGAACATGGAAATGCAATTATTTTAGTAAATGTAAACTGCTAAATAACTTTTCTCAGCAGCAGTTAGAGCAGTGCTGTGACTTTTATCAGTGTCCAGCAGAGCACTGGTTAAAGCTTGGAGGAGTTTTCATTCTCCTCTCACTGTCCTATGAGGCTGCAGGACCCCTGACCCTCTGTCTGGACAGTGCTGATTGGCCCTGTGCTGATCACATGTACCCTCCCAAGAAAAAGAAAAAAACTCTCTAGCAATACACACTAAACTGAGCATGTGCGGCTTGCCCCCAAGAATCTGTTCTATCGGGAGATGAAATGGGGCCTGTGGAAGAAGGGGAGGATCAGAGAAGACAGGATCAAACATCCTTTTTTACACAATGCAGAGGATTAGCCCCTTAGGTTCCACTGTGAGTATAACAAGCATGCTGTACTGCATATACAGACTGATTTTACTGGACAATTTTAGATGCGGTTCAGGACAGCTTTAGATGAAGTTCAGTACAGCTTTAGATGCAGTTTAGGACAGGTTTAGATGCAGTTCAAGACAGCTTTAGATGCAGTTTAGGACAGGTTTAGATGCAGTTCAAGACAGCTTTAGAAACCTGTCCTGAACCTGATCTAACTTATTTTCGTCTAGGCTCCATCCACACTAGGGCATTTCAAATCTGCGATTCTACCTGTGATTTGAAAACGCGTTGTGAAAATGTGAAATCGAGCATTCACGTGTTCATTTGCCATTCATTTCAATGGGACCTGAAAACGGGGGGCATTTTTGCCATGATCGCAGCACATTTTTTTCCATGCGACAAACGTGCGATCATCATTAAAATGAATGGCACCTGAACACGCAAATGCGCGTTTTCATATTTTCACAGTGCATTTTCAAAACGCCCTAGTGTGAATGGAGCCTTAGTTTTTGTTTGTTGACAAAAGTTGGAATTGATTTTTAGCATAGTTTTCCTTACTGAAAACATATCACTGACAAAAATTAAGACGAAAATATTTTTGTTGGTGAAGTTAACACTGTTAGTACAGCACGTATATTATTTACGAGGGACACTACTCTTGAGGTCACGAGATTTCTGACCCCTATATGAAAGGCAGCTCAATGATGAGAGGTGGCAGGTGCTTGACAGGGCAGCACTCGCTCAATAGACTTCATAAATGATTCATCATGAAATATAAAACTAGAAGTACCCCATAATTATTCATAGTGTTTGGGCGTCCTTTTGCTAGTGGTGATCTTTCAAAATGTTCAAGCTCTTCCACAAAGTCCTTACAAAACTGTGTATCAAATACAGGAAGTCGATATATCCTTTTACCTATGAAAAATACAACAGTTTAATGTGGTAGGAAACATGTTTTCATTACAGAGCTTAAAGTGAAACACTGCAAGGTATTTACAAAACTTAAAGCGGTATTAACCTCTTGCCGTCCGCCTGCTGTTGATAAATAGCACCCACCTTTTCTAGCTGTGCGCGCTCCCTGGGAGCACGCAGCACCGCGATCTGGTGCCCGCTGTGTCCTCCGGACACAGTGAAACACCGATCGTCGGACGGGACCTCTATACGAGGTCCCGATCATGTGATCACTGATTGGCGAATCAGTGATCACATGCAAAGTAGTAAGCAAGATGTCACTTGTGACATCATTGCTTACTACGTGTGAAATCTGTGAATGATCACAGAGGTCACATGGTACAAGGCTATTCACAACAGCCTTGTACCATGTGACAATCTGTGACCAATCACAGCTCACTCAGTACTTCTCAATAACTGCAAGCATGCAGACAGAGAGAAAGAGAAATGATTGCTTTTACATCCTATATGGGTGTAAAAGCAATCAGTGTAAAAAAAAAAAAAATAAATCTTCATCACCCCCCACAAGTACTGCTAGGGTGACAGTATGTAAAAAATAAATAAATAAATAAATAATAATATAAAAAAAATAAAATAAAAATGTAAAAAAAAAAATGTTTAAAAAGTATAATTTTTGGTTATAAAACTAATTTGGATTTTTTTTTTTTTTTTTTTACTAAAAAAATAACGGAATAAATTTTGGCCAAGATTTATGATGAAATATTATTTATTTGCAAAATTTTATTAAAAAAAAACACTTTCTTTCAAACTTTTTGAACATTTTCATTTACATAGTAAAAAAAATAAAAATCCCAGCGGTGAATAAATACCACCAAAATAAAGCTTTATCTGTCTCAAAAAAATGGTAAAAAATTCATATGGGTACAGTATTGCATGATCGCGCTATTGTCATTCAAAGTGAGATAGCGCTGAAAGCTGAAAATTGCCCTGGACAGGAAGGGGGTAAAAGTGTCCGGACAGGAAGTGGTTAAACCCAAAACTAAAAATGTAATATATTGCCGCTTACCAATCCATATATGTGGTGGCTGCATTCGTTTTCCTTTTTTCCCTGGTGATCTGGCAAGTGAAACACCTCCTGTATTAGGATGCCTACACTCTGAATGAAGGAGCAACAGAGACACCTTTGGACAGCAGCACTGTCAGTTTTGCGGGAGGGTAATGTTAGAGGCACTATCAGATTTAGATACACTAACAAATTCAAGATAAACTTCCACTGACACTTTTTAGGCCCTGTTCACACTGGTTTTCTGCACTAGAAAGTACCTTTCCAGTGCAACAAAAACACATGAAAAATACTCCCTTTTAAATCCTATGTAACTGTTCATTGCACTGCAGGTGTGCTGCATTTTAAAAAGTCCTGCATGCTGCATCTTTAGTGCCCTGTTTCAAAAGAGCACCAAAAACACACTTCCATTGTAAGTCAATGGGAACGCCTCAAAAACACACCATGGTGCATTTTTTGAGTCACACGTCCAAGTTTTTCACAGGTGCATGCTGGGAGTCAGGAAACTAGAAAAAAACACCAAGAACACATTAAAAAAGCATACCATGTTTTTAAGCACACCACTATGAACACAGCCTTAGCCAATTACAGCAACAGTTTTATTCCTTTTGGGATAAAGGTTTTACATACTGTAAATAAGAGGAGTCTCAACCCACCAACTGCTACATCTGCAGGACAGCTTGTTCTGTTGAAAAACAACAGACTTACAAGTGAAAATAAAGGGGAAAAAGCCAACAAAAGAAAACTAATGCAGCCTGTTTACTACAGATCATCTCTTACTTCTGTTCTGCAGATACAGAGGTCATTCCAAGGCAGATAACATTTTTAAAATTAGCTCCAAATAAGACATTCTACCTTTACTTAAAAAAAAATAATCCCAGTATTGTAATGAGCAACAATGCTCCATGGCATTCCTTTTAGACATGCAGTATCTAGAATAATGTTACTAAACCCAGGACCCTGTATTCACTATGTCTGGTCTTCCACAGTACACACAACATGGAAATGTTATTATTTTAGTAAACTATAAACTGCAAAATAAACTTTTTCTCAACAGCAGTATACAGCAGTCTTGTGACTTCTATCAGTGTCCAGCAGAGCACTGGTTAAAACTTGTAGGAGGAGTTTTCATTCTCCTCTCACTGTCCTATGAGGCTGCATAACCTCTTGACCCTCTGTCTGGACAGTGCTGATTGGCCCTGTGTTGATCACATGTATCCTTCTAAGAAAAAGAAAAAACTCTCTAGCAATACACACTAAACTGAGCATGTGCGGCTTGCCCGCAAAGATCTGTTCTATCAGGAGGTGAAATGGGGACAGTGGAAGAAGGGGAGTATCAGAAAAGACAGGATCAAACATCCTTTTTTACACAATGCAGAGGATTAACCCCTTAGGTTCCACTGAGTATAGCAAGCATGCTTTACTGCATATACAGACTGATTTTACTGTTGTGGGTTTAGTAACACTTTAAAATAGAAGTCAACTGACTTGAGGTGAGACTGAAACATGAATGTTACCATCTTTAAAATATATGTATAGCCTTTTTTTTATAGTTTTGGGCAGGGTTAATTAAAGTAGTGTTAACCATGCACCCTCCCAAATTAAAAAAAAAACTCTCTAGCAATACACACTAAACTGAGCATGTGCAGAGTGACTATCTGCACTATCAGCAGATGGATTGGGGTAGAAGAAGGGGAGGATCAGAAAAGATAGGATCAAAGATCCTTTTCAACACAATGCAGAGGATTATTTCCTTAGGTTCCACAGTGAGTATAACAAGCATGCTTTACTGCATATACAGACTGATTTTACTGTTGTGAGTTTAGTAATACTGAACTGTGAAATGCACAGTGCAATAGACTTAGGGACATTGCCAGTGATATTTTAATTCATGAATCGGTGTGTATAACTTGGCCTTATGTAGGCCACACACCGGTCGAATTCCAAAAATATTTTCTTTCGAAGATCTTTTCTAAGAATTTTTGTTCTAATTTCGCACCATTAGTGGGTCACAGAAATGGACGATTTGCGTGTGACCATCGAATTTGAGTGATTGGGCATGTTGGAAATTTTCTGAAAAACAAACAAATTTCGAATCAATGATGGGAGAATCATGCCAGAAATGTAATTGAAAAATAAAGGAGCGTGAGCGGTCTCACTCCTCCGGTTATCTTGGAGTTTCCTCATTTTTGAGGTTCTAGCTGACTGAGATTCCTATTGCCTTACGAGTCACTTATAGATCATTATTCGTGGCTTTATTAGCCTAAGTTATTTGCTTAGTATTTTCTTGTCTTCAGTAAGTCGAGTTGTTCCCGTGGACTATTGTGTCCCCCTCCGAGCTGGCTAGTGGTCTAGATTGGTGTCCTGGCTGCTACCCAGCCTCTTTGTGGGTATATCACCCACAGTTGATTATTACCTTAGATAAATACCCTGCAGAGAATTCTAATTCTTCCGCATCAGCTAAATCCTTTACCCGTAAGTACCCATGACCTGGTAGATCTATGGCGTGAATTCCACCCCCGGGGGAAAGACTATACTTACTACTCTCACCCTCACCATTCTCATTCTAGAATTGACCATGCTTTTGTATTGCGCAAACATCTCCCTTTGGTCCGCTCCGTCTCTATCCTCACGGTTCCATGGTCTGATCATGACCCCATTTTGGTGGTTTGTCGATCTCTCCTCTGTAAGCCAGCCTACTCCTCTTGGATTATGAATGACGCTCTACTTTCGCTAAAGGAGATTCAGGCGGAACTACTGCGCAAATCCCAAGAATATTTTCAGCTAAACTCGGGTTCTGCCTCTTCTTCGGTGACGTTGTGGGAAGCTTACAAGGCTGTTCTTAGGGACCATATTATTCAGATAGCTTTGCGGCGGAAGAGGGATAGACAACATAAACAGTGTCAGCTGGAATCAAAGCTAGCTTCTGCGTCGGCTCAAATTTAAGCAGGTACCTACCCCATCGAACCGTAGATTGCTAGATCAGGCCCGCCTGGAACTGGATCTCTGACGGATGAGGCTGAGCGCTCTTTGCATTGGACGCGACAGAAGTGGTATAGTAAAGCAAATAAACCAGATTCCATGTTAGCATGTAGATTGCGCTCTTTTGCGCAACACCCCAAACCGATTTCTCTACACACTCGTCAGAATGCTCTCACAAGTAATCCTGTAGCGATATTGGAGGAGTTACGGCATCGACTAGCCAGACTTTATATGGATCCTACACGGGCTGACCCTCAGTCTATTTCTGACTTTTTATCCCATCTGTCCTTGCCTACTTTGACTCGGGCTCATAAGGACCTGATGGACCATGATATTCAAATATCGGAAGTTCTGGAATGCATTGCAGATCTGAAGATGGGCAAACGCCCAGGTCCAGATGGATACACGGCTTTATATTACAAGAAATTGGCTGATGTGCTTGCCCCTCACCTTACCTCTATGTTCAATGCGGTGAAGGGAGGTTCGAACTTTTCCCCTGACTCTTTGACTGCTGATGTGGTTATGATCCCAAAACCGGATCAAGATCATTCCTCTTGGGCAAATTATAGGCCAATTTCTCTTATTAACATTGACATGAAAATCCTCACCAAGATCTTAGCCACTCGTTTGAATTCTTTCTTTTCTCATCTGATAATAAAAAGGACCAGGTGGGTTTTGTCCCCCACAGACAAGCCAGAGATGCCATCAGACGCATTTTACAGTTACAACATTTGGCTCATGTTCGCAAAATTGATATGATGCTCCTATCTCTAGATATCAATAAGGCCTTTGACACTTTGTCCTGGCCTTATCTCATGTCGGTCCTTCACCATTTTGGCTTTGGTCCCTCGTTCTTGCTTTGGATCTCTTCGCTATATATGTCCCCTCAAGCAAAACTCAAATATTATGGTTTTGAGTCCTCAACGTTCCCAATTGGCAGGGGAACTAGACAAGGTTGCCCACTTTCTCCCATACTATTTATCTTGGCTTTGGAACCTTTGGCAGAAGCCATTTGTATGCATCCTGATATTAAGGGAGATGTAGCTGGTTCTCAGCATAAGTTATCTCTGTTCGCTGACGATATATTGTTGTCAGTCACGAATCCGGGGGTTACTTTGCCAAACTCACTTGCGGTTTTGGATTCCTTTGCAGTTCTTTCAGGCCTCCATGTAAACCCTGCCAAATCTAAGGCTATGTCAATTACCCTCTCACCATCACTTTTGGCGACTCTGAAACACTCGTTCCCTTTTCAATGGCTCTCGGCCTTGCCGTATTTAGGAATCAAGTTCACCCCAACTTACGAAGGACTTTACCGGGCTAATTTCCCCGCCGTCTTTAATGAATTGACAGAGCTGTTGTCCTCCTGGTCTCACTATCCGCTTTCGTAGTTCGGTAGAATCAATGCGATGCGTATGACTTATCCTCCCCAATTATTGTATGTGTTTCGAGTTTTACCTGTCCCTGTTCCCTCGCATATATTGCGTATTCATCAGCAAAAACTCTGCAGGGCAGCATAGTGGCTAAATGGCTAGCATGTCTGCCTGGCAGTACTAGGATCATTGGTTCAAATCCCAACCACGGCACCACCTGCCTGGAGTTTGCATGTTCTCCGTGTGCCTTTGTGGGTTTCCTCTGGGTACTCCGGGTTCCTCCCACACATCAAAGACATGCTGGTAGGTGAATTGGCTCCTGTCTAAATTGGCCCTAGTGTGTGTGTGTGTGTGTATGTATGAATGTAAGATAGGGACCTTAGATTGTACACCCCTTACTGGTTAGGGACTGATGTGAATGTACAATATATATATATGTAAAAGTGCTGCATAAATTGATAGCACTATACAAGTACCTGAAATAAATAACATAGAGGTGCTTCTACGGGCTGAAAAAAAAATGCTAAACACCTGAAAGAGTGTCCTTTTTTAAGCCTAGTGTGCATGAGGCCTAATTCAGCTTTAAAGAGTATGTAAACTCAACCTTTCATATTCATGCTAAACACCACCTGCTGTACCATGTACCTGTATGAAAAAGTAACCTGTTCTGTTTATATTGATTCCTTTGTGTAAAATCCCTGGTGTTCCTGCCAGTCCCTTTGCTTTCCTATTAAAAACTGACCACACTAGGCAGGAGAACACATGCCATGGTCAGTTCCCTAGTTGTGCTGGGAACTAAGCCAGCTCTCCTCCAATGATCAAACATGTTCTGGCATACTCCGCTGCAGAGCCTTTCACTGTTGCTGTTTCTCCTCCCCCAGTTTTTATGAAGTTGAGAACAGATGGAAAGTGATCACTTTTTAAAAAAAAGGGGGAAAAGTGTTTATATATTTTTTTTATATATATCATTTCTATTTTAACCACTTGCCCTCCTGAGGATTTACCCCCCTTCATGACCAGGCCATTTTTTGCGTTACGCGGCTGTATTACTTTAACTGACAATTGCGCAGTCATGCAACACTGCACGCAAATGAAATTTACGTCCTTTTTTTTCCCCATGGATTGAGCTTTCTTATGGTGGTATTTGATTGCCTGTGCGTTTTTTAATTGTTTGCGCTAAAAAAAAAAGACCAACAATTTTGAGTAAAAAAAAAACAGTATTTTTGACTTTTTGCTAATAAACATGTTCAGTAAAAAAATTTAAAAAATCTAATTTCGCCATAAATTAGGCCAAAATGTTTTCTGCTACGTGTTTACTAAAAAAAAAATCCTAATACATGTAAATGAATTAGTTTACATGAAAGTTATAGCGTTTACAAATGGCGGTATATATACTGGGCTTTTTTTTTTTACTAGTAATGGCGGCGATCAGCGACTTATAGCAGGACTGTAGGACTGTGGCAGGCATTCTGACACTGGGGGGGAACTGACTTGGTGTCACTGACATCCCCAGTGATACCAATACAGTGATCAGTGCTAATAAAAAGCACTGACACTATACTAATGGCACTGGCCAGGAAGGGTTAACATGTGGGGCGATCAAAGGGTTAACTGTGTGCGGTTATACTAAGTGTGCTGTGTGTGTGCTTCACTGTAAGCACACTGTAAGCACACTGCTTCGCATGGCTGTGCTATGCACAACCATGCAAAGCAGTGTGCAGGAGCTGACAGGGGAGAGAACTCTTTTGTTTACAAACCATGTGCTTTCAGGAAATGAATGCTTTGGGGGGTCTTTAATGAACTCTAGCAGCTGTTTCTGAGCTCTTTTATCTAGGATTTACTATCTCCGGATTAATTGCTTATCCATGCACTGGAGCTGATACATCTGCCTTAGAGGGATCTCTATATAGAGCCCAGCCGCACTGGATATTTGGCCATCTATTCCTGCAGTGGAAAGGTTACATCTTTTGAAGGGATTTCTATACAGAGCCTAGTTGATTCTTACTTCTGGTGAGTGCATAGTGGTGGAGGATTGTCACAGATGCACTCTTCACAGGTGTCACTGGTCATGACTGATTTCTACAACACCATTGGACACTGCACTTTGTGGACTTTATTTATGATTTAAGTTAATCTTATATATTTTTTTTTGTATAATTACTTCCTATATAAGTTCACACAGGAATAATTTTGTGTTCTTCATATGCTTTGGACATAAATGCTGCGCTTTCTGTATATGTTTCTGTTTTTAGTGGACTAGGAGGGTTCACCACTTTGCACTAGCTGCTCATTCACTAGTTCTTTTTCTTTGCACTAACTACATATTTTTGACACTGAGCTGTATATTCCAGGGAATATCTGATTGCCTCTCGGGGGATCAGGAAGGATTTTTTTTCCCTGCAGGAGCAAAATGGATCATGCTTTGCTGGGGTTTTTTTTGCCTTCCTCTGGATCAACTGTGGGTATAGGATTATAACTTTTCTTTTTTAATGGTAGAACTGGATGGACTTTTGTCTTTTTTCAGTCAGACTAATGCAGGCCATAGATGGGTCGAAAATAGGCCGATTTTTCAGCCGAAAATAAAATCGGCCGATTTTCGGATCGTTAGTGGGTTAAATGTTCGGCCGTTTTTCGGTATTTTGGCAGTTTTTTTATCGGTAAAGTTGGAAAAAAATCGGCCAATTTTCGCGGCAATGATGGGCAAATCAGCCGATCTTTTACCGATAAAAAAAATCTGCGCATGAGCAGTGACCTGCAAGAGGAAGACAAAAAGAAGAAGAAAAAAGAAGAAGAGGATGAAGAGGAAGAGGATGAAGGAGAGGATGAAGAAGAAGAGGAAGAAGGAGAAGGGGAAGAGAAGGAGAGGATGAAGAAGAAGAAGAGGATGAAGAAGAAGAGGAAGAAGAAGAAGAGAGGATGAAGAAGACGAGGAAGAAGAAGAAGAAGAAGAAGAGAGGATGAAGACGAGGATGAAGAAGAAGAAGAAGACGAGGATGAAGAAGAAGAAGAGGATGAAGAAGAAGAAGAATAGGATGAAGAAGAATATGCTGAAGAAGAGGATGAAGAAGAGGAAGATGAAGAAGAGGAAGAGGAAGAGGATGAAGAAGAGGAAGATGAAGAGGATGAAGAAGAGGAAGATGAAGAGGATGAAGAAGAAAAAGAGGATGAAGAAGAAGAAGAGGAAGAAGAAGAAGAGGATGAAGAAGAAGAGGAATTCCAGTCCGGCAAAAAGTGTCCCTGCAGAGAGCTCCGCTATTTCTTTGATAGTTCCTTGACATTTATAGCGGTTGCAACAATGTATCTATATGTTTCCGAATAAAAACATTTGTATCCTAAATGGATACAAATAGATACATTGTTGCAACCGCTATAAATGTCAAGGAACTGTCCAAGAAATAGCGGAGCTCTCTGCAGAGACACTTTTTGCCGGCTGTAGACGGGATGAAAATCGGCCGATTTTTTTTACCGTTGCTGGTAACGTCGGCCGCTTGAACGACCGATTTTTAGTTTTTTTTAAAGAAAAATCGGCCGATTTTCAACCCGTCTATGGCCTGCATAAGTATGTAACTATGTATATGTGCTTATAGTCTGAGGATCATTGTGATCAGGCTTGTAGGGGTTGTTAATTGCAGAAGAGACATTGCATATCTCTTCTGCAATAAAAAACCTGCCTGTTCACAGTGAGTTGCAGTGAGAGTTTAGTTCTGCTTTACGTCAGCAAGGCCAGGAACAAGTCTTTCATCTTCACTCTGTTTCTCAGCATTGTGTCTTTCCTAGCACTTTTGCAAACTTCCAGGGGTACAACATCTTCTGCCCATATGCCCGTTGTATCCCTACTACATGAATTCATTTTTTGGAGACTTAGATTAACAATACCTGGAATGGAATCAAGGAGCTTTAACAGACCATCCAGACTAGCATGGGGAGACTGGCAAAAATGGACAGCTTCCAAAAAGTCTGCAGCCAGAAAGGACTCCTTAAAAAAACAAAAGTGAGAAAGAGATAATTAAGCACTGTTCACAAAAGTGCGTTTGCTGTTAACAATTTATGAGCCCTTTTTACTATGTCATTTATTGAGATGCAAAGATGTGTCTTCTCTCTCTCCACCCCTGTTCATTATTGGATTTACTGGATATACACTTGAGTGTGTTTATGTGATTTTCAAGCATTTTTTGTGCATTTACTAGGAGGCACAGATGTTTGTTAGACAGGAAATTGCCCATTTTTTTTACACACTCCCATTGCAGTCTGTGGGGGCCAAAAAATGTGCAATCATGCCCAAAAGAAGCTCCTGGACGTTTCTGGGCAATCAGCAACAGCATGAAATAATGTGTGAAATCAGGTGTCATGCATTGAAGCACTCCTGGAAACACTACAAATCTCTCAGGTGCGAATGGGAGCCAAATGTATCTTTAGTTACCTGTAAGACATACAACTCTGGATGCATTGGTTTATAATGGAGTGAAATTTCTGATTTTCTTTGCATAGACTCCTCAGCTAATTTCTTTCTTCTTTCCACTTCTTTCTTTACCTGGGGAAATAGTAACACAATCAAGGTGATCTGTCAAAAAGGCAAAACATCTGCCTGAAAAGCCTCAGGGTTTGTTTTTCTTTGACTCCCAGGCTACATACCAGTTCCTGGGCAGTAAACCTGAACCTATTCAGTGATGGATATGACTGCACTAGAACTGCAAATATACAGACAACTTATACTATAATTCAGATATCCGACTTAATACCAGATTGGACTTATGATGGGACGAGTGTAAAAACATTTACAAAGGGGCTAATCTAACAGTGGTTTAATAGAAAATGCAGGCATTCTGTCACTATATATTACTTTATGGCAATTAGAACAGTAATTTTTAAAATCTTTTTTGCTTGAATTATATTTTGAGTCACATTCCTGACAAAAATACAATGGAAATTCCTGCGGTACTAAGAATCATTGCTTTGCAATGTTATTGCCTTTTAAACATTCTCCCAGTACTACAACCTTCAAACTGCTTTTCACTGGCCTGGAGCTCCTCCTGATGGTGAGATTTAATATTGCGGCTCCTCCAGGCAGCAATAACAATGATGCCTAAACACACCCTATCTAGGAAGTCTGACTTAGCCCTCCAAGTGATTGTAAGTGACAGTTGAGGGTCATGCTCTTTCTCACAAAGTGGGTGGGGAAGGGGGATTCCTTCCTTGAGACAAAGGTCCAAAGCTTTGGCAGCATTTCATTTTCCATGGTAGTGACCTAGGCAATGCATAATATGTAATGAGAGAATTCTAGAGCCAGCCATTGCACACTTTTTTTATGAAAACACTAGCTGCCTGGCTTTCTTTGTCTTCAATAATTTTTGAGTAACTGACCAGAACAAGCATGCAGTTAATGAAGTCAGAAGAGTCAGAACTCCTGACCGGCACATGTTTTCCAGATCACTGACAAAAGCAATGAAGTCTTTGAATCCACATAGCCAGGCAACTAGCATTTTTAGAGAGTACAGTAATAGCAGTCTGCCCCACTGAATGCCATAACTCCTAAGGCTCCATGTACACTGCAGCTGATAAATTCATGTTTAGAAGCTTTTCTGCATTTTTTTCAGCAGCCCCTGAACTCACCCTAATGTTTTCCTATGTGTCCATGTACACTATGTCGTTTACAGTCGTTTACAGGTAGTTGAGTTTACAGTCGTTTTTTTAAACGCACCAAACTTCCGTTCAGGAGTGGATTTTATCAGCGAATAAATGCCAATCAAATGCCAAACGCTTGTAAACGTGGATAACCGCGTTTATAAGCATTTGGAACATTTTTTTTAACTCTTCCATTTCCAGATGCTGTCCAGAGACTTTTTTCATCATGAAAAATGCATGCAAAGCGTTTTCCTGGTACTCAAATGGACCTAGTACACCATACTTTGAAGTTTCGCATGAAAGAAAATATGTTAGACACTGCTGCAATAATTTCTGCACAGAAATGAGCTGGGACACATCCAAACACCACACAAAAAAAGACAGCTAATCTCAACAAATACTGCTCTCTGCTTCTGCTCTCTCTATTTCTCTCAAAATGACTGAAATTATTTTTTACTGTTTTTCAGTGCATTCTGGGCATTCTGGAAGGTCTCCTGAGGTTATCTTTAAAAAACGATTCTAAAAGCAAACGCTCATAAACGCGGTATGCAAACGCAGCTAAACAGATGTTTTTTAAACCTACGTTTTCCAGCAGTCAGTTTCCATCGTTCAGAAGTGTTTTCCATATGTCCCATGTACATGGCGCTTAACTCCTGGTAGGAAAAAGCTGCATATAAAAATGCGGTAAAAAGCCGCCTATTGCACATGTACACGCATTTAGCCGTGTCTAATGAACATTAATGCATTCAAATGGCCAGAATATTAATTAATTCTGGCCATTGGAATGCATTAATCCTCAAACACTATCATTTATGCAGGTTTAGATGCTTTCTGCAATTTTTCTACTCTTCGGCTCCTCTCCTGAAAGTGCCTTTGGTGATTTTTCTAAAGACTGTAAACTCTCCTCTTCTAATATGCCTGTATACACCTAAGTATGCAGGGACACATAGGTTTACATAAAGGTGCTTTTACAGGCTGGAAAACGTTACCCACAGTTAATCCAGAGGAAGGCAAAAAACCCAGCAAAGCATGATCCACTTTGCTCCTGCTGGGAAAAAAAATTCCTTCCTGATCCCCCGAGAGACAATCGGATATTCTCTGGATCAACTTTACCTATAAATGTTAGTATCCAGTTATATTCTGTGTATCCAAGAAAGAATCCAGGACTTTTTTAAAGCAATCCACTGAGTTGGCCAGAACCAACTCTTGAGGAAGTCTATTCCACATTTTCACAGCTCTCACTGTGAAGAAACCTTTCCGTGTTTAGAGATTAATTTCTAGACTGTGAGACATTCTACTTGTTACAATCTCCAGATTGATACATATAAATAAGATCCACCAGATCATTTCTTTTATTTTGTAACTATTGTGTCAGCAAAAGTCCTGGGAGTATTTGGTGTATGTGAGCCACTGCAAAAAGCTTTCCTCAGTGTGCACTGCAATCAGCTTAGTAATGGGCAGTTCATTCACATATGTTTGTTTATGGATATATACTGTGTGTGTGTGTATATATATATTTTTTTTTTTTTTTTTTTTTTTTTGTGTGTGTATATTTTTTTTTAATTAAGAGGACAGTCACTTTTGGACTACATCTTAGAGCTGCATACTTGAAAAAGCAGTGCAATCTGGTCTCTGTTTGTTATTGCAGTGGTTATCCAATGCTGCAATCTTCCAGTGAAAAGTTAGAGAAAGAAAAAGTGGAAACGCGAGTAAAGTTGTTCTTAAACTACCACAACACCAGTGTGTAAGGCCCCATTCACACCTGAGCATATTGGAATTGCGGGTAGAATTGTGAGATTCTGCCTGCTATCCTATAATTACAACAAAACATGCAACATGCCCGATTCAGTGCCAAAATTCCAAATAAATGGTGCCGCTCCAAAAACGCACCACAAAAACACAGAAAAAAGCAACACGGCAATGTCGATCAGGTGTGGTCAGGGCCTATTATACCCCCTTCCTGTTTTTTAGTGCGGTGATAGTTTCACTGACAATTACTTGGTAATGAAACTGTATTCAAATTAGTTTTATATAATTTTTTTGTTTTTAGGATACAGCTTTCTTTTGGTGGATTTGATAACCCCTAACCAATAACCAAATTTTGCAAAGTGTTCTCTGATTGGATGAGGTGGAGAGCGTTACAGCACTGTCCTGCCTCTGCACTGTGTCTAGTCAGGCAGCGCTGCCAACCTCCTGTGCTCACAATCCATTAGGCCAGCCACACAACACAGGACCCAGCAGCAAGTGGAGATCACTGGAGTAGTAGTGAGTATCTACTACAATGATTTCCAACCTCCAGGAGCATTGGCCAGATATGGTATATACAAAGTTACATTGGTCCAAGCTGGACCAATGCCAAAGTAACTATGTAAAATGTACCATGCCTGGAATTCTTCTTTAAAGTAGAAGTATGGGATAGTACAAATAGATAGTATTAAAGTGGAGTTCCAGCTGTTTTTGTGTTTATTAAAAGTCAGCAGATACAAAAACTGTAGCTGCTGACTTTTAATAAACACACACTTACCTGTCCCAGAGTCTAGTGATGTTCTCACCCTTCCCTCCTCCATGGCGCCGGCATCTCAACTGTGGGTACCAGGCTGTGAAAGCTTGTGGCTTCACAGCCTGGTGCCCACTGCGCATGCGGGAGTCACGCTGCGCCTCCTGATTAGTCCAGCGGTCTTCTGGGACCTGTGAAAGTTCCCAGGAGACTGCAGGAGGAGGAGAAGGGGGTTGAACCTTCTCCCTCAAAACCAGGTACCCGCTCCGCCCTCCCCCACCAAAAGGTGCCAAATATGGCAGTGGAGAGGGGGGGAGAAGGTAAATGAGTGGAGCTTCCACTTTTGAGTGGAACTCCGCTTTAACTACCCTTACCACAGAACAGGTTTTCTTTCTTTCCTATGTTGCTCCATTTTTGCTGTATCCCCATTCCAAGCCCTGGTTAGGGCTGAGTAACGGCCCTCTTCAGATTTGAAAGTTTGGAGTGGGTGGTTACATCCGGAGTGAGCTGCCCCCCTCATCCTCTCCTCCTTTAGCTCTCAGCTGTGACTGCGCTTTCCTCACAGAGACAGAAGCTGGAACGGGCCTGCCTGCCATATGCCTCTGTTTCCATGACTTTACACTGTCAGCAAGAGACAGAGGCACAAACCAGTATGCTGAGGGATTTGCAACTCCGGGAGACTGTACTATACAAGAAAAGAATGAAGAAATGTTCTTCAGCTTCTTCCCTGCTTCACTCTGCAGAGAGAGTGAACTGAGAAAGTTTAGCAGTGAGAGCTCAGCCTGGATAGAAAAGGGAAGGAGAAAGCAGCTGCATGTCAGAATGACCTTGATGGGAGGGGGGAGTAGGGGGAGAGAAGCTGCCTGTGTGTGAAGAACCTCAACAAACTGGATGGGAGGGATGAGGAGGGGGGAGTGTGAGAAGAGCTGAAGCTCTGCTGATGTCTTGGAAGTGTGCAGACTGTCAGGAGCCGATGTCAGTCATAAGAGGGGGGTGGATACTGACTTCAATGTTGGCATGACGCTGCATAAGAGGCTTTAGCCCCTCCCACAGGTTTTTTTTTTATTTCAGAAGAAAGGGTGTACATTTCAGAGGGCAGAAAATCGTTTTTCATAGTAGCAGCTCACCAGGATTAAGATTATACAAAAAAAAAAAATGTAACCCATACTTCTCTTTTAACCTAAACTGAAATTATATTGTACTTCCCTCTGAAAGAGCTAGGACCTATTCACACCAGAGGTAATTCCATGCAGATTGCTGTGTTCTAATCTGCATTCATACTGTACGGTAAAAATCTATTCATGTCAATGGGGACTGCTGTTACCAGAGCTCCAGTTTAGAATAGCACTGACCTATGGATTTCTATTCAAGTCACATAAATGGAAAAATCTTATTAACAAATTAAAAAAAAAAAACATGTCAAGTCAAGCAAAGTTGCATGCAATACTACCCGTGTTTTAATAACATCTCTAAGATATACATGTAGTATATACATAGGCGATAGATAGATAGATAGATAGATAGATAGAGTTTTTGTTTTGTCATACCGTTTCCAGAACTTGTGCAAGCTTCTCAGGAGTACCACATCCCCGGCTCTGCAATGCCTAAATGACACAGTGGTGTATTAATAGGAATCGCTAACCCACTTTGCCATAATAACATTACTCACTCTTTATACAGAGCATTCTTCAAAAAGAAATACATTTTCACCAACTGTATAAAACTGTTAATTGGATAGCAGACCATAAGTTCATGGTGGGGAGAATCCTGTCATTCCTCCGACTCCCCTGTTCTTCATTCACAGATCGTGTAAATGCAGTGTGTGATCACTACACAGGTTTTTTTCAATGGAGGAAGGAGGTGGCAGGTCCCTATTGAGAACTTCTATTGAGGTCAGACCAAGACCCAAAGCTATTAACTCCCTCAGAAATTGCAGTTCAGCAACAGGAAGAGGACCTGTCATCACTGCACTGAAGATTTCTACACACTTCAGCTGCTTGCATAACATGAGACATACGTCCTTACAGAAGTTAGGTCACTAAAGCTGTAGGGAAAAAAATTTGTTTTTTAGCTCACTCGGTCTAGAGGAGGTTAAAGGGACTGCACTACTTACCTTAAAGGATAAGTTCGCCTTTCATAACATGTTACTATCTGACTGGCCCCCGCACCCCCCCCCCCCCCCCATGCCCGCTGTGACAGCAAGCAGATATACCGACAGGTCAGGGGGAGACCTGCATGGCACCAGCGATCTGCTGACCGCACGGTGCACGGGTGTCAAACTGATGGCACTCCAGCTGTTGCCAAACTACAAGTCCCATCATGAGGCATTGCAAGGCTGAGAGTTACAAGCATGACTCCCAAAGACAGAGGCATGATGGGATTTGTAATTTCACAACCGCTGGAGGGCCACCAGTTTGACACCCTGCTTTAGAGGCTCCATAAACAAAAATAATAAATGCACATTTTTTTTTACCTGCAAAAAAATGTGCATTTATTATTTTTTGGTAAAATGTGAACTTATCCTTTAACAAAGCTCTGGCCAGCTCTGGCCAGTTCCAGCACTTCTGTCTGTAGGTGGTCCTTCAACATCATCATGTGCAATGCAGGGCTCTTAACCATGCATTGTACAAGGAGGAGGCAGGTGTTTGACCATGGCTTGGAGAGCCTTATGCTCTATAAGAATATTGTACGAACATTTTAGTACGAGGACCGATTCTCCGATAATCGGATTGTTAGTACATAGCTTTCGAGAGCCGATCACAACAATTTGTGCAACAATATCCAAAGAGACAAGCACAAACATTTTTCTCGTACGATACCAGATCGTACAATTTTTGTTTAATCAGTACAGTAGTCCTCCGAAAATACAATACAAATACAATACATGACATCACTTTCAAAATTCTTTTCTTTCATAGCATTTTCCTATCTTTAACAACCTTTTCACTTTCGATGTGAGACTAGGAGACGAAAAAAAATGGGCGATAGTTCGTCCGATATTCTCATCGTGTGTACGGGGCTTTAGAGGGGAGGCTTTGCAGGATCAGTCACACTGCTGGAGGGATATAAGGTAAGTATATCTCCTAATTCCTGTACACCCCCCCACCCCAGACTTAACAATGCTGCAAGGGTAGATTTTCAACCCTGGAGTTGGACTTTAATATGTTGCTAAACTCACAACAGTAAAATCAGTCTGTATATGCAGTAAAGCATGCTTGTTATACTCACCGTGGAATAAGGGTTAATCCTCTGCACTGTGTAAAAAGGCTGTTTGATCCTGTCTTCTCTGCCCCTTCTCTTGTTGAAATAGCCACCTGATACAGACTGAACCCATGGTTACATGCACATGCTCAGTTTGGTGTGTATTGCTAGAGAGGTTTGTTTTTTTTTTCCTTGGGAGGGTGCATGTGATCACAGGGCCAATCAGCACAGGGCCAATCGGCACTGCCCAGACAGAGGGTCAGAGGTTTCACATCCTCCTACAGCAGAAAGAAAAACTCCTACAAGCTTTAACCAGTGCTTTGCTGAAGTCACAAGACTGCTCTAACTGCTGATGAGAAAAGGTATTTAGCAGTTTATATTTACTAAAATAATTGCATTTCCATGTTGTGTGTACTGTGGGAGACCAGATATAGTGAGTGCAGGGTCTTGGGTTTAGTACCACTTTAAAGTAAACTTTTACTAAGGCTGGCCATACACTATACAATCTGATTCTACAATCTCTCTGCAATCTCTTTTAGTTTGCCCGTAAATCAGAAAGGCCCTTGTACTACATAGTTGATTGGTAGATATAACTGAGAATGAGACTGTACAATCAGAACATATAGTGTTTGACCAGCTTAAGAAAAATATGAGGGTTTCACAGCTGACCTCCTTCCTAGAATGTTATTGTTGTTACACTGACCTTCTGACTCCAGTAATTAAATCCCTGACCTGGGAATAAACGCAGACCAGGAAAATGGGAGTAACCTCACAATTCCTGTATTTGTATACTTGTTCTGGATTATAGTGACCTGAAGTATGGAAGAAAGGGGATCAACATGAAAGCCAGAGACCTAGCATTTACAGAGTGAGACATCTGCAATGTTCTTCCTTTAAGGGCTCATTTACACCATGCCCTGCATAGATCAACACAGGCTCAACATAACGGGGCAGCACAGTGGCTAAATGGTTAGCACATCCGCTTGGCAGTACTAGGGTCGTTGGTTTGAACCCCAACCACTGCACCACCTGCCTGGAATTTGCATTTTCTCCTTTAGCCTGCATGGGTTTCTTCCGAGTACTCCGGTTTCCTCCCACACTCCAAAGACATCTGATAGGTTAACCACTTAAGGACCACCCTATAGCAGATATATTGCTACAGGGTGGCACCTGTGAGCAGAATCACGTGTATATATATACGTGATTTTGCATTTCCAGGTAGGGGGCGTGTGCGAGTCGCGCACACGGCCGCAGATGTCAAGCACTGGGTCTCGGCCGGTAATTACCCGCTGACGCCCGGTGATTACCGAGCATCTCCGACGGGGAGGAAGATTGTTTTGTTTAAAGGAGGGTCAGCCATGCTCCCTGTAAGGGACAGAGAGGTATTGAATCCACAGATTCCAGGTTCTGACGTATTGTTATTAAGAATGAAGGTGAATTTGTCATTAACCGTGGTCCAATTCAGTTTATTTTTAATGTAATAAAGTGGTATCACCGATTGCTTCTGATATTTAGCAACTGCGATTCTTTCAGCCAAGATAATGTAAAGGATCAATTTGGTCAATTTCTTGGAGATTCCTGAAAGTAATTTTTGAAAAATGGCTATCTCTGGGGACCTACTTGTAGCAATTGTGCACACAGAGATGGACGCGGTCATCCATCTTGCTAAGGATCCTCCATCTTGTATCTCTCTCCCTCCTCCAATCCCCCCTCCCTCTCTATTGAGTGACACGTGGTCCCTGTGCTCTAGGGTTAAGCAGTGCACAGGCAATCAGGCACAGCAGGACAGCTTCATGGTTATAAATCCCAAACTAGCTCGTGCCCAGGTTTCTGTTAGCTTCTCAATCTGAGATATCGTAAAGCCATAAACCATTCCTTCACTGAGCTTCAAAGACATTCCAGCTAGCTGTAAACAGACTTACATTTAAAAACCCACTTTTACATATAATTTTATATCTGGAGCTGGGAAATAATTACATAAAAACCAAGCATATATTCGGTTAGCTCAGTTTAATGCAAGTCGTCTGATATTTTACACCCCCTAGTTGAAATCTACAGGAGAGTAGAAAACTATATCTCCTTAACCGTCCCAAGCAGGTATGTCATGTTTAATATCTAGACATTCAGCAGATGATTCTGCATACTAATCTACTAGTGGCTAGGCTGCTACATGCACCGAGGGTAGGTTATTGATCATGATATAAACTGGGAGGGATTTTGGTTCTAGCTTGGGTCTCTGCCTCCAACACCCTCCCCAAATTAGCCGATTGGTTCTCTGCTTCAAGGAGATACCCTGCTGAGTTCCTAGAAAAGGCTGTTATGCTTGGAGCAGAGAGTTAAGTTGAAGTTGATAAATTCTCCTTTTTAACATCGGAACCAACTTTGGGAGAGCGGTACCCTTTTGCTCTGACACTTAAACCAAGGCTGACAGCAAGTACTCTACCTCTCTAAACTTCTTTCTGTTATCTCTTTGCTGTGTTATTGGTCTCTGTATTTATATACAGTTGCAAGAAAAAGTATGTGAACCCCTTGGGATTACGTGGAGTTTTGCATGAATTGGGCATAAAATGTGCTCTGAACGTCACAAGTCACAACAATAGGAGAACACAGTCTGCTGAACATAATACTACACAAACATTAGATGTTGCCATTGTTTAATTGCACATAACATGTAAACATTCACAGTGCAGGGAGGAAAAAGTATGTGAACCTTTGGACTTAATAATTTTTTGACACTGCTTTGGCAGCAATAACCTCAACCAAACGTTTCCTGTAGTTACAGATCAGACCTGCACAACGATCTGGAGTCATTTTGGACCACTCCTCTTCACAAAACTGTTTCAGTGTAGCAATATTCTTGGGATGTCTGGTGTGAATCGCTCTCTTACGGTCATGCCACAGCATTTCAATCGGGTTGAGGTCAGGACTCTGACTGGGCCACTCCAGAAGGCGTATTCTGTGCTGATGCAGCCATTGTTTTGTTGAATTACTTGTATGCTTTGGGTCATTGTCCTGTTACATCACCCATCCTCTGCAGAGCTTCAGTTGGCGGACAGATGGTCGTACGTTTTCCTGCAAAATGTCTTGATAAACTCTGGAATTCATTTTACCATCAATGACAACAATCGTCCAGGCCCTGAGGCAGCAAAGCAGCCCCAAACCATGATGCTCCCTCCGCCATGTTTTACAGTGGGGATGAAGTTTTGATGTTGGTGTGCTGTGCCTTTTTTTCTCCCACATAGTGTTGTGTGTTCTTCCCAAACAACTCAATCTTGGTTTCATCTGTCCACAGTATATTTTGCCAGTAGTGCTGTGAAACATCCAGGTGCTCTTTTGCAAACTTCAAACGTGCTGCAATATTCTTTTTGGACAGAAATGGCTTCCTCCGTGGTGTCCTCCCATG